ATATATATATATGTAATAGGCAGTAAAATAAAATGAGTTTTTACAGGTACTTTTCAAGCCTCAGTCCCCGACATGCATTGCGTGGCTCAGTTTAGTCTTCTACCGTATGCCTAGAAGTGGCCTCACACATTCCAGCACAGAGGTCGGCTCTTACAAAGGCTGGGCGTGCAAATAGCAGTGATAGGATTAATTAGTCCACACTAAAAGGATAAAGTCAGATCAAAACACACAGACGCAAATCATTTGTTTGCTGACAGAACAATGCCTCTCACTAGGTAGATGACAGACCTCTCTCATCTGCTCATCACATGCATGGAAATGATGGCAAAGGCCATGCAAACATAGGCACATCAATCCTATTAGCTGCTATGCCAACTTCAAAGGTCTGGAAATCTAGCAGGATTAATGTTTAGAGTCAGCCATTAACAAATAAGCCCGCTCTCAATTTTGAATATTTTCACTGCCTGCAGGATTCAAGTAAGATGTGAGATCCCTCTTGTAATTCATTAGGAATCAATTGGTAAAAACAAATGACTATCACTCACAATAATATTATTATACAGGATTTATAGAGCGCCAACAGTTTGTGCAGTGCTTTACAAAATAGTGAAGACATTACAATCACAATACAATTCAAGACAAGATGGTAAGGAGGGCCCTGCCCCTGAGGGCTTACAATCTAAAAACATCATGCGGTGATCAAAGAAATGACAATGTGCATGTGAGCTCCAGAGCTTTTTTTGGCTATATAATATATAGAATATATGATGTATAAAAGATATGCTCATTTTGTGAACATATAAAGAGCAGTGTTTTCACGGTGACTAACTTTGGATCCATCACTTCTCTATCTATGGCTGTAGAAGTTACTGCACTATGGCACACTGCCACTGCATTTTAAAAGCTACATTCTGGACAAACCGCTAAATAAACAAATGAAATACATATGAGAACTGTTCTACATCCCAAAGAATTTGTATTTAATCTAATCCTGAGATTTACAGAGCCCTGCCACATAGGACAGCCAGACTGTAGGCAAGTAATACAACTAGGGCTTGTCCCCGTTCCCAGCCTGTGACTGGACAATGAAGGTGAAGCAGCCGACTGATGAGTTCACCCCTCTGTCACTCTTCTCTCACCTCCAATCAGCATGTTCCTTGTTAGAACTAGAGGTCAGATACATACAAATAGCACTGAAGAACAAATTGCTGGCTTTTTACTCTCCTAGTCTGAGCTCTGCTGTATAATTTATTGCAAGTGGCTAATACTAACTCAGATTCAGGTACTTGCACTAGTTGCTTTTAAAATAAATATATTCATTTTTTTTTTTTTTCAAGAACATAGGCAATCCTATCATCTCCTTCCTTACAGTAGCTTTCAGCAGTCCCTCCAGGGCCGGTGCCGGTCTCTGATCTAGCTCTGATTGCTGTTTCTTCCTTTCCCACGGAGTCTGAGACAGAGGTATGTTTCTACCCATTTGGTAACTTTTTTATTTTTCTAAATGTTTTTGCATAGATCTACTGCTTAGATTAGACTTTAATACTACTTTAAACTTTTTTATTGAATGGTACTAGCAGCTTCTTAAACTGGTAAACTGGTAAATGCTGGTTGCTATATACCAGGGCTCAATTCCGGAGGGCTTGGCAGCGAAAGGGTTAAGAAGCGAAATTACTCAAATCCAACTACAGCTAATCATGCTTTGGTAGGTTGTGGGTACTGGAGCAACAGTGCGATTCTACATTCTTTTGACAAAACATAGCATATGAACAGAATGAGGGGGAATTTATCAAAACTGGAGCAGCCGTGCACAGCAACCAATCAGGTTCTACCTTTCATTTTGAAATCTTGACTGAACAAACTGAGAGAGCAGCTGATTGGTTGCCATGGGCAACTGCTACAGTTTTGATAAATTCTCCTCAATGTGTTTAAGCCAAGAGAAATGTTGTGGGTACCATTGCCAAGTTCCTTCTGAAAATGCTAACTGCCTTCAATGCATTCTAAATTACAGACCTGGACTAAGCATGCAGGAAGTACATTCAGAGCAAAGTCAGGGAGCTCCTAACCTGTTTATTTCTTATGGGTCAGAGTCAAAGTATTAAAGCCAAAGCACCAGCTTGAAGGCCAAGCAACTAACATTTCCAAGAGGACATGGAAACCTACATATTTCTCTCATCACAAGATACTTTAATTAAATCGTTTGTTTGTTGTGGATTTTTTAACATTAAAGATGATTTTGTTTTGTTGAAATCAAGCAAGGATTGACATTTTTATTTATGTCAGTCCTGGCTGTTGCCTTACCCCAGGTTGAAGCCCAAATTATAGGTGTTCCTATAGGGCAGTTACATCCACCTTCCTCCTCTTCATTCTGCAGTCCTCCATGCAATGTTGCAGCTCTGCCTGTGTCCTTTCTGCTCATTTCTGCCACCTTCTGTGTACAGACTTCCTTGTTCTGATAGAAAAGTTTGAGCCCAGAACCTGCCTTCAGCTATTCAGGGGATGTAGACAACAGTAGTAGCGGTCGGCTTGTGTTGTTGTAAATGATGGTGCCCTGGAGAGGACCACTGTCATTCACAAAAACACAAGCCCGCAACAACACATGCCAGCAGTTACTACACTAGTCTCTCTCCAATATTTGAGTCCAGACCCGTACGCCTGCCATTCATTGGAGAGAGACTAGAGTAGTATCTAATACAGTCCAAAACCGCACTCAATACAACTTGCTGACCAAAAATAGCAAGGAAGGGTGCTTGTATTGACAGCAATGGATGGTGCAGAGCGTGACAGAATGAGTGGAAGGAGGGTTGCCAGCACTCCATGATGAAGAAATCAGTGTAAATATATTTACATAGGGTGGCATAGGTCGAAAACCACCAACCTTTCCTCAAGGCAACCAGCGTAGTATCTTGTGTATGTTGTTGTGGGCTTGTGTTATTGTGAATGATGCCAGTCCTCTACAGTGCTCTGTCATTTACAACAACACAAGCCAACAACTACTACTGTAGTTTCTCTCTTACAAAGTAACAGGCAGATGGGTTTGGGCTCAGTCTTTCCTTTTAGTACAAAGGTGGCAGAGGCACAAGGAAGATTAGATGGAGGGCTGCAAATTCTTCCTTCTGGCAGCTTTCAGAAGGCAGTGGTGGGAGTTGTTCGGGCGCTGTATGCCCTCTGTCTGTCAGAGATAACTATAGGATTTGTCTCCTTGCTAGCAGTTTGGTTGGACAGCAGTGGAGGTAGGGGGCTTGCTGTCGACCACGAAAGCTCAGCAGTCACTGCACAGAATTGAATGTTTCCAAGTGTGTATTTGGTCCCCAGGGGAAATGCAACAAGAATTTTCAACTTATGGCAATACCTCTTCTTCTAAAAGCTGCAGGTGATAGGAGCAAGCAGTCTTACTATAGAAAAGCCCTCAGCAGATCTCCCAATAGCCCTTTGTGCACATAATCTATAAGACAAGAGACTGCTTTGCCATGTTAGCCAATAGAAAAAAAGTGTATTAAGAGTTAAATTAGGATTATAGGTTAGCTGACTAGACAAATGCAACCTTTTAGTTAGCTCAGATCTATTCTTCAGGGGTGGTGATCGTAAAAGCTGACAGTTGTAATCTATTCAGCCAATAAAGGTGAGTATTCAACATTTATTACAACACAACATAAAGAAAACATAGGAAGTCACACATGGTGGCCTCCTAGCAGGAGAGATAGTTTGTGCTCACATCTAAAGAATGGTAAGCTGCAATATATCACATTTTGGTTTTCCGGTTTAGCTACGCTTTAACAGAGGTAAAGAGACAGTACTTTGCAGGATACTTACAGCTAGTACAAGCCTCTGTAGGAGAATCCTGGAAGTCAAAGCGGGAGGCAGCTGGGTACTCACTATCCTAAACAACAACGTAGAACAAAAATAGTTTGCTTTCATTTTAACGTTTAAAAAATGGTATCATCATTCTACACGATATATACTGCCAACAGTTTGTGCAGCATTTTTACAAAATGGAGGAAGACAGTACAATTACAATACAGGAGGGTTAGGAGGGCACTGCTCATGAGAGCTTACATATTAGTAGGAGGCAAGTGATACAAAAGGTAATAATTATTTGGGATGAGCTAATGGAAGAAGTAAAAGGACAGTTATGTTGAGATGGAATAGGCTTCTTTTATCCCCAAAATGAGATGCAAATTCCTAAAATGAATCGTATCACCAGAGTAAGTAAATGGTAAGCATTCAATGCCAAAACATTGTTATCGTTGAACGATAAAAACAACTCAAATCAGGAATGATGCAAAAAACAGTGAGCTACAGGACCAACAACTGTCTGGGGGGGAGGGGCACACATTCTAGTCACACTTTATACAATATTCTGCAATTTGATATTCTGAAGTGAAATAAAGCAACCATCACTTTTTCTGGCATAAGAATTGAAGTTCTATAAATCTGTGCCCCAGTCCTGAATACAATGTAATTTTGAAAGGCTAAAGCAGTAGACGGGGTGGTCTGGTGGTGCTCTTAATGTTTAAACGAGAACTAGTGTTTTTCCCCATAGTTCTCTTTAGGGTCACGGGAGGACATATACTAACCTCCTCCCGTGACCCAAAGCTCAGTATATAGCGAGCTATTGCCCACAATATACAGAGAGCGCAGCAGCCGGGACGGATCCTGACAATTCTGTCTGGATCCACCCAGCTGCATGAGTGACAGCTATTTTTGCCTATCTAGAAGCAGAGCCAGCTGTGCCCCCAGTCAGTGCTGGAGGATCATAGGGGGGGGGGGGAAATCCCTGTGGGGAGCGGTGACTGATGGTCACTACTCACTACAGGGAGACGATAGGGAAGTGAGCGGATCAGGGGCATGTTTCTGCTCACTTCCCGATCGATAGAGCTGACCTGTGACAGCTTCTTTGTTACAGGTCGGCTCTATCTATGGGAATGAGTGGAAATCACTTACCTCATAGATCTCCTTTAAGCAGGCACCCCACTTTAGATTGCTGGTCCTTATGTGCAGTTTGAAAGTCTATTATCTTTAATATGAAACATGATTTATATAACACCAGCAGTCTAATAGAAGCTTACTTTAAATGTGTGTTTAAAGAAACCAGATATTACCTGCCATTGCGGACCTCACCTTCTGTATCTTGGCTGTCATGCTTATCCAATGGCAATGTCAGTACTTTGCTTCACTGACTTGGAACAATTATGCAGAAATTCTGACTTCACATTCTGCATTCTTGTCCTGAGTAAAGCTGGATATACACGGCGCGGTTATATTTTCTTCATTCAACCTGTGGGTTCAACAAAGAAAATAGAACAGATTCCTCTATCCACGCTTACGAGCATGGATGGAGGAATCCCCCGCTGTTTTGCATTGTATTCTGGACCAGCCACTGTCAGAATACCCGATCGGACTAGCTGCAAGCTCTGTTCAGCCGAGAATTTTCCAACCTGTTTCTTTGGAAAACTGATTGAGGGATGCCAGGCAGGAGAGTGCCGACAGGGACGCCCACAGGGTGAATTGTGGCCGGTTCATCAAGAACTAGCTGAAATTCACAATGTACATAGCCTATAGAGCTGCAGCTAACGATTATTTTCAAAATCGATTAGCCGATTATTAAGTTCGATTAATCGGTTAATCGGATAAACTATAAAATAAAGTTTAAAAAATGGCTCCAGTGATAGGACTACTAGTTTGTATTAAGGTTGTAGTCCATCACAGGAGCAAGCTTGGACCGGCGGACGTAAAAAAGAAAAAAAGATAGTGTGGTGTGCAATATAGTGAAATGGAAAGTGTAAAATTATACAGCAATGCATGCAGAATGGCAACGGCTATTGAAGACTACAAAACCCAGCAAAAGCACATTATACAGCGCAATGCAGAATACCGCCAGCTATAGAGGAATACAACAAATCCCAGCAATAGTACATAATAGCTGGCAGCATTCTGCATTGCGCTGTATAATGTACTATTGCTGGGTTTTGTAGTCCTCTATAGCTAGTGGTATTTAGCATTGTACCACTTTATAATGTATTATTGCTGGGATTTGTTGTACTCTTCTACAGCTGGTGGTATTCTGCATTGCGCTGTATAATGTATTATTGCTACCGATTAATCGATTATTGAAAAAGTTGACAACTTTTTCAATAATCGATTATGTCGATTAGTTGTTGCAGCCCTAATAGCCTACTTTAGTGGTTCAGAAAGCCAAAACTCTGGCTGGCATGAGAGTCGGGCAGCTAGCAATATCCTCCATATTCCTCTCCACACAAGTCTATTATAAGTTCCATTATCACCACACAGAAGCGGATGTCAACAGAGTACACTCCGTTGAAAAAGTTAAAGGATGTTTGCCTTACCGATTGTTATACATAATGCAGCCAGCCAGGATATGAGGGAAGCGCTGACATGTCTGCAGAATGAGTGCAGCCTTCAGTAAAAGAAGTGGATCCACCTGTAGAACATAAACGGGTAAGAATTATCAGTCACCTTTTAAGAAATATTTCCCCAAAATCCATGCAAACAGTAAGATAATATGAATTTATATCTCTAACTTCCTGATTAGTCATCTAGTCGAACATATTTATTACTAAGGCTTGTGAACTGCCCCCCCAATATGTCTGTAACGCAGCCTGGTATTGGCTGGTCCCCTCAAGCACTATCACACAGACATGGTTCAATCTTATCTTGTAAATAGCCAAAAGAGCATCAGCTTCAACAGGAGCTTCAGGAGTATGGAATAAGATTACATCATACCATACAATTACTACTAAGCACAGTATGTCAAGAGAATTGAAAGTAGCTTGAAAACATTTTAAGGAGAACTATGGGGTCAGGGATTTTCCCCATAGTTCTCCTAAGGGTAACGGGAAGACACAAACTAGCGTCCTCCCGTCACCCAAAGCTCAGTATACTGAGACGCCGCAGCCGGGACGGATCCCGACATTACTGTCTGGATCCACCCAGCTGCGTGATTGACAGTTGGCTGGAGTTGACAGTCAGGGCTGGAGGATCGGACAGGAGAGGTGGGGAGTCCCTGCAGGGAGCCGTGACAGTCCCGGCTCTCTGCCGGGATAGATCGAGAAGTGAGCAAGCGACGCTATGTGTTCGCTCACTTCCTGATCTACTGAGCTGACCTGTGACAGTTTCATTGTCACAGGTCGGCTAGTACTATGAGGCTGAGTGATTTTCATTCACCTCATAATTCTCCTTTAATTCTGCACTTAATATTTGCTAAAAGCTATATCCAGAACTTTGAGAAAACTGCCATTAAAAGCTTTTAAAATGCTCGCTGTAGCGGATACCCAAGCTAGAATTAAACAGTGCCTTTGTGCGTAGGGAATTACATGTAGGGCTGCAACTATTCGATTAGTGGGCTGATTATTTTTTTGATTAATCAGATTAAAAAAAAAAATCCCATCCTTAAAATAAAATACACAAATGCAGTGTTACAAAGTTTACTTCAGAATAAAACTGCATGCACACTTTTTTGCAATCGCACTGCACTGGAATGCACAGCATTGTGCGTTCCAGTGCGGGTGATCACACTGTGGGTACGAAGCGCGTTTGGAGTTCCATTGAAATAAATGGCACTGCAACGCACCTTCTGCAGCAGAATTTGTCAGGCCGAAACCAACCACTAGCAGGCTGGCTATTGCTGTATAAAGAAGCATTGCATGCACAACATCAACTGTAATCTCCACTGTTCTGTACAGAAGAAAATGGCTTAATCAGTCCATGGAGATGATAGTCCAACATAAAAGGAACCCATACTTTGGTTTTGTCCACATGGCTGAGGGAGTTGAAGATCCGGTGTAACTCAGGAGTGTTCTGTATGTATTCCAGATAAAGGTTCCATTCCTCGCTCAGCTCTTCCCGGGAGCGGACCTAAGAAGGAACCAGTGTTAACAAGTTTCACTTAACAGATTACAACTACTCAACACTGGTAACCCTCATACTCCTCAAGAGGGGTTTACCTTGCGGTGCAATTCTACAACAAATTAAACATTCTGAATACAAATATTACTTGGGAAGAATTGTGTCTGGTTTCCTCACGACACCTTAGGGTAACGGGAGGACACAAACTAGCGTCCTCCCGTCAACCTAGGCTCAGTATACCGCGACTGAGACACCGCAGTATACCGCGAGCACAATTGTGCCGGGATCCACCCAGCTGCGTGACTGACAGCTGGCTCTACCTATCTAGAGGCAGAGCCAGCTGTACCTGCCCCCTCCCCTGTCCGTTCCGCCAGTCAGCGCTGGCGGATCAGAGCGGGGAGAGGGGAATCCAGCCCCTCCCCTGTCACGGCAGAGAGCCGTGACAGGATCGAGAGGTGAGCAAACGCCGGTATATGTTCGCTCACCTCCCGATCTACTGAGCCGACCTGTGACAGTCTCATTGTCACAGGTCGGCTAGAACTATGAGGTGAGTGAAAATCACTCACCTCATAGTTCTCCTTTAACATCCACCATTCAGTTATTGATGGGTAAGTGCTAACCCTTAGGATTGCAAGGTCTTAACTTACACCTTGGCCAGCCAGAATCTTTCAGCAACCTACACAAATGATGACATATAAAAGGCCTAAAAGGAGCTGTCGTGTTTAGGTAATAAATTGTCAGATGAGCTTGAATTCTTTTTCACGATTTGTGCAACTCAAGCAAAGCTGGAGTTCTGATAATTAGAAGAGTGGTTTTAGGGCTTGTTCACACCAGCACCTGCGCTCAAGTACACGGCTGCTGGTGTGCATATCCCAGGACAGTGCCAATGCACTCGATCGAGCCACATCGCACTTTTTTCTTAAAACTTTATTTAAATGTCAAAATGACATTTCGTGAACTGAGCACCCAACTCACAGGCATGTCACCAAGCAATGTAGAAAGAAACAGTCCCACCCAGGAGCATGCACCATCAGGAAGGCACCAAGGAGACCCTGCAATGCAAACGAGCCACCTTGTGCACGCAAACGCCACGCCAGATTGCCAGAGACAAAGAATGCGGCAAAGACTGCACAAAAAAGGGACAGGAAGCAACACTTATTTAAGGTATGCTGCTACATTTATTCTCTTTATCCCTAGCGGTGTAATGATACTTTAAATGTTACTTTTCAAATACAGGTTTGATAAAAAAAAACTTTTTTTTATGAGCAAACAGAGAATTCCTAGACTATTCTTATTATAGACACTATACTATTAAAAGTAGGGATGCACCAATACCGATAGTAGTATTGGTATCGGTGCCGAGTATTTGGGGCAAGTACTTGTACTCGCCCAAATGCTCCGTTGCCTAGCCCGATACTTTCGGTATCAGGAAGCCGAGCAGCAGGTCATTACACGCTGCCCGGCTTTCTGATTGGCCGAGAAGTCGGCTTCATGCTCCCTCGTCACCTCATGGCCGAGAAGCCGGCTGCATGCTATCTCATCACACACGTGGGTGGCGAGTCTTTACACGCTGCCCGGCTTCCCAGCTAATCAGGAAGCCAGGTGGCAAGTCATTACATGCCGCCTGGCTTCCTTAATGGGGCTTCCGGTATCGCTATTTGGTATTGACGAGTACCGAAAAAAAAATATCGGTACTCGATACTGAAATAGCGGTATTGGTGCATCCCTAATTAAAAGTATATGTAAACATAATCAATAAAATATACAAGCTTAAGGGCTTGTCCATACCAGCAGCCACACTCATCCGCATGGCTGCTGGTGTGCGCTTGCCTGGACAGTGCTGTTATACTCACTCGAACGCGGTGTATAGAACGTGATGGTTTACAGCACCTTAGATTGCTGCAGCGCAGGAGAGAGGCTCCAGGGACCAGTCTAAGAGGCTCCAGGCTCCTAGCATCGGGTGAGTAGAACTTTTCTAATTTTGTTAAGCACCTAGACCAAAACAAGCACTTGACCCTTGCAATGCGGGGGAGCCCCACTGCAAGGGTTAGGAAAAATTCTGCCTGGCGTTCTGCTTCAGGTTCTATGCGCACACCACAGTGCAATGCAGTTGTAGCGAGCCTCACTGCGGTGCGTTTAAAAAAGTACTGCATGCCGTACACACCATGGCCATTGCTGGAGGGCATTTAAACAGGAAGTGGCTGCAAAGAGGTTGCAAAC